TACCCCCTCATCCCTTCAGGCTAGGGATAATCCATTAAAACTAAGTGCTATGGTTTGAGTAAAAATAAATTTAAAGCATTTACTTGATAATACCAATATTATTTGTTAAATATTACTGATTACTTATACCTAATATTTAATATTAAAAAAAATTTCCAGGCAAAGTCAAAAGCCATATTAATTATGGAAATTCTTCCAAGCCCAATGAAAGATCATAATAATTTTGGTTGTTGAGAACTGAAATAAAATATTTAAATAATCATAAAAATACAATCAAAATTTAGATTTTCATGGGCCTTAATTTTTTGATCAGGTCGAGCCCAGGCCTGCAAAAATATTTGTTTTGGGCCAATGCCTGACCTATAATTAATAATAAAAAAATTCTCAAGCGTCCAAGCTTATAATAATTTTGAAAAATTTTCCCCAAGCCCAGCCCAATATAATATATAAAAATATTTTCCAAGCCCAGCCCAACCCATGATAATTTTATAAAAAAAATTTCTCAAACCTGGCTAACCGATAGTAATTTTCCAAGCCTGGAGATAGGTAAATCACTAAAAATCATATCTATTTTTTTGTCTATTTTAACCTAGCTCACTCCAACCAAGGCCAATCCATTAAGACTAAGAGTGAATACTATTTTTTTGAATAAAAATATATTTAAATTAGATTTTACCTGAGGGCCATATAAATATTCTGTGTTAAATATTACACCTATACCTAATATTTGAAAAAATCCCAAGCCAGGTCCTCGCACTTGGTTTTCTTAAACCCGCAAAAGACCATAATAGTTTTGATAGTTGAGGACTGAAATAAAATATATAAAAGTCACAATGCATTTAAAAATACAATCAGAATATGAAATTTGCATGGGCCTTGGTTTTGATCAGGCCTTGCCATGTCTTCAAAAGAAATTTTCAGGCCAATTTCTAGTCCATATTTAAAATTAAAAAATTCACAGGAATCTTAGACTATAATAATTATGAAAAATGTTTCTCAAGCTAGGTCCAAGTCCATATTAATGGTGAAAAATATTTCCCAAGCCCAGGAAATCCTAAATAATTTATTTGATCCAGAAAAATAGGTCTGATGTAAGGGGCTTATAAGAATTAAATCTGTCTAATTTCAAAATTATAATCAAATGAAGGGTAAATTTCTGATTTGCCTATGATTCTACTGGTGAGCTCCTGGTATTTATATGAAATTCATGAATACATATTAAAGTACCATTCTGAAAATATGTTCATCCTAATTTAAATTTTAAACAAACCATTTTAAATTTTGATATTTCCAATACATGCTCACAGTACACATTGCAACAATTTTACCTCTTTTACTCTTAAATTTTAATATATATATAAAATTTATTAATAAAGTATATTTAATACCATACACACCAACTAAATAATTACCCTTCAACACATGGTTTTTTGATCAGTTCTGGCTGTCTGCAAAAAAATTTCAGACCAATCTATAACCCATATTTAAAATTTAAAAATCTTAGCACCTCTATTTTAAATTTTATTCAAAATGATTTCCATCACATTTTTAAATTTTGATATTTCTAATACATGCTCACAGTATACATTTAACAATTTTATCTCTTTTACTCTTAAATTTTAATATTTATATAAAATTTATTAATAAAGTATATTTAATACCATACACACAAACTAAATAATTACCCTTTAACACATGGTTTTTTGATCAGTTCTGGCTGTCTGCAAAAAAAATTTCAGACCAATCTATACATATTTAAAATTCAAAAATCTTAGCACCTCTATTTTAAATTTTATTCAATATGATTTCCATCACATTTTTAATTTGATATTTCTTATACATGCTCACAGTATACATTGGACAATTTTACCTATCTTATTCTTAAATTTTAATATTTATATAAAATTTATTAATAAAGTATAAAACTAAATAATAACATCTATATAATTAATTATGTTGAAATTGGTGCATAAAATGATTGTTAATTTAAATTAAATATATATGAAGAATTATAGTAAAATAAAAAGTGCGTTGAAAGAACGTTTGCCTTCCAATCGTGAAGTCGCAAGTTTGAATCTCGGGGATGGCAAAAAAAAATAAAAAAAATGTAAATTTATTATTATCGTAAAATAAAAAGTTGATGAGTGCTGCATTGAAAGAACGTTTGCCTTTCCAATCATGAAGTCACAAGTTCGAATCCCTGGGATGGCAAAAAAAAATTTTAAAACCTTAAATTTTAAATACATTAAGGAGATACGAAAACGATCATCATGTGATTATGGAGATTATATATATTAGATTATTATGGTTGTTATATAGCGTAAATTTTTATATGTTACATTCATTTAATTAACACCATTTATATTAACTTAACTTAATAGTTTCATTTAATTGTTTAATATATTTTTTGTATATATAAAGAATTAATTATATTTTTTTAGTTAAATTGTAGTTGTAATATTTTTAAAATATATTTATTTAATAAAAGTTTTAAATCTTATTGTTTAATCTTGCCTAACTCCCTGCCAATTAACATGATTTTAAAAATATTTATATTTCCTCATTTTCTATAATCACAAATGTTTCAAATTTTATTATATAATTTATCTCTCTTATTTTATAAGAATCTCTTTCATATTGAATATTTGGTTCTAATTCAATATTTTAATTTCTTGTTACTAAGAGATTTACAATTACAATGATAACTTCTTTTATTATAATGTGTTTCTTTGTCTAATTTTCTATTCTCATTATTAGATTTAATAAATTTTTATTATGAACATTTTTCTTATCATGGGATTCACAGTTATGACCTCTAAAGTTAAAATTTCCTACAATTACAATTTTCATAATATCTAAAATTGCAATTATTATTATAATTAATATCATATCTTTTAATTTCGTCCAAAGTTGTTTTTAAAATGCTCATTAGATTTATAATCATTATAATTTCTTTTGTTATAATTAATATTTCTATTATTATAATAATAACCTATGTCACTAGTATTGTTATTTTTTTTAGACTGAATTTTGTCAATTTGATATCTATAATGATCTGGGAATTGAATTAAATACGGCCTATTTACGTAATATATTTTAATTGTAGCTAAGAATTTATCTTTAGGCAATTTCGTTAATTCCCAGGGGTAGGTCATCAAGAAATTTAACTGTTAATTCGTTAATAAGCAAATATTTTTTAAGGTTATCTAAGTATTCATATATATTCATTATGACTGATTTATATTTAATTTATTAAGTTATATTAGAATTTTATAATAACTTCTTTTTTTTTTGACTTGGATTTAGAATATTTTATAAATCATCATTGGTTTTACTACATAGAATTCATAACCTATTGTCTAACTATCATATTGGTTCTTGTAAGTTGATATACCTAATTTTAATAATCATTTCCATTTATAACAACTTCATTCTAGTTTGATATCTAGTTTAACAATTCTCCTCATTGTTGATTGATCCATTTGATCTAAATTATATTTTGTGGAAAAAAATAAATTTAAAAGATTTTAAAATTGTAAATTTCGCTGCCACCATGTTAAGGTTGGCAGGGAGTAAAGCAAGATTAGACAAAAAGATTTAAAACTTTTATTAAATAAATATATTTTAAAAATATTACAACTACAATTTAACTAAAAAAGTATAATAAATTTATTCTTTATATATACAAAAAATCTATTAAACAATTAAATGAAACTATTAAGTTAAGTTAATATAAATGGTGTTAATTAAAATAAAAATTTGCGCTATATAACAATCATTATAATAAAATAATAATCCATGTTTAACAATATATATTATAATTATTTACATATATAAAATTTAAGAAAAAAAGAATTTATTTTAAGGTTAAAGAAAAAGAATTTATTTGAAGGTTTTTACATATAACAAAGTGAAAAATTAACAAAGTAAGAATAAAATTTTGTTTTATGGTTAAATAATTTACAAAATTTATATTCAAATAATGAAACATTTTAATTTATAACTTTATATTTAACAACTATCATACCATCACTTAGTATGTATATCCACAATTAAATATTAGAAATTAAATGAATTCACTTAACCACTTATCCATTTAATCTATTAAATATTTCGTATATTTATTTTCTTTTATCATTAATTTATTATTGAATTTGACACATACTAATAAATTAAACTTTAAACAGAAAAACTTACTAAAAATTTTTACCACAGTATTTATTTCAATAATTAATCCTAATTCATAATAGTTAACTTAAAAGGTCTGTTAAGCAAAATAGTTAAACATCATATTATTATCAAAATAATTGTAAAAATAATTTTTAAAACGAGTATAACTAAAATAATTGAACTCGCAAGTCGTTTCAAGGTCAGGAGGTCATTAATTGAATTATAGATTCGGTTCAATAGTTGAAAATTGAGTCCGTAAATTCAGAGTAATAAATCGAATTAGGAGAATAGACATATGCGACTTAATGACCCTTCTAATCGGAATATTCCATGAATCTAAATAAAGTTGCATTGTAATTAAGCTTATAATAAACCTAGAAAAACTCCTATAACCATATAATAATTGGAAAGATGTAATTAAAGAGGGGGTGATATTATTTAATGTATCTATCTAATAAATTTTATAATAAATCATATTTTTAATATCTATATTTTTTTTCCTGCAATATGACTTATAAAATTCAAAAAACTTTAAACATTCTTATAATAATAAAAAATATATATGTTTGATTTTTTTTATAATTAGCAAAGAATAGTAATATGGATTTGTATTATATTATTAATACCTATATATCTATATGATCCTTTAATAATTATACAAGAATCAGTAATTTTATAATTTTATGATTCAATAAAATAATTATAAAATGTAACCTAAAAATAATCTTTTGTAAAATGTATAGGTTGATAAAAAATACAGAATAAATTAATTTAATTATTTTTAAAAATAACATCTTGTTTCAATTCGATCTTTCCTGATAAATTTTAATTTTAGCCAATTACCAACCAAATTTTATTCCGGTATACTTCTAAATGGATTAAAATTAGTAATCATTATGCTTTTCATGTGCTAAAAGTTTTTAATCCAATTTATACCATTGTTTATCTTATTGTAAATAAAGTTGAATAATCTAAGTCAAGATGGTTAAGGAGAATAAAATACTAAATTTAGAAAATGAAAATGACGAATATGAACAACCTAATCCACAATGCGTAGGCTCAGAATTTGTTAAGCAATATTACACAACTCTTAGTAAAATCCCTGATTTTCTCTTTAGGTAGATAATATTATTTTTATCAATCATTTTTTTTAAAGATTTTATACTGATAAATCATCTTTTGTTCATGGTGGGATTGGGCAGGACGATGAAGAACTCCCAGTTATTGGACAAAAGGTTAATATTTATATTTACTGAGATTTTAAAATGTTGATTTAGGCTATTTATAAAAAAATTCAATCTTTACAATTTCGTGATTGTAGAACTAAAATTAGAAAAGTAGATAGTCACCCTACTTTAAGTGATGGGATTGTACTTCAAGTAATTTTTTAAAAACAATTGTTTTCAAAATAATCCATTTAGGTAGCTGGTGAGATATCAAATAATAGTGGTCCTATGCGAAGGTTTATGCAAACATTTGTTCTTGGATTTCAAAAACCTAGAAGATATTATGTTATCAATGATATATTTCGTTATCAAGATGAAATATTTGATGAACACGAGGAATCCAATCATAATCTAAGTAATAATTTTATTTTAATGATGATAAACTTGCCCTCACTGAAAATGATGAAAATTTAAACTGAAATTATAAATTTTTTTATAAAAAAATTATTTTATTTAGGTCCATCTATTCATTCACTTGAAACTAGACAAAATCAGAATATTTTTAATAATACTGAATATGATAATGAAACTTCGGTTGACAACAATAAATCACATATTAGTAATAATTTATTTGACTCCTCACATCAAAATGTACTTTTTTCAAACAATTTAACAACTATATCTAAAGATATTATACATGAATCACCTTCTAAAAACATTAAGTTTAATAACTAGAAATTTTAATAATAAAAAGAAATATTTAGAAATATATATAATCTGCCAATAGCAAATTCTACAACTACACAATATGCTTCTTTTTTTGAGGAATCATCAAATTTAAGATCTACACAGGAAGAAACCCTGACAAATATAAATTTAGATAAAAATAACTACTTGCCAAGTTAGATTTAATTCTAAACACTTTATATTTCTTTAGGTCAAAATCATTTACTTACTAATGGCCATGAAAATTGGGATTCTGAAGAGCATGATATAAAAAATAATGATGAGCTTAATTTGGTAGATTCATCTCAAAATTTAAACAATATTGCTTTAATTAAGGATGAGTTATTACTTAACAAAAATACAAATTGTAATCAAGAAAAATTTATAGAATTATCAGATGAAATTCAAGACATAAGTTAAAATAATTTACAAAATATTTAGTAAAAGAATAAATAGATAATGGTCCAACTAAAACATATGCCCAACTATTAAGCAAAAACAAACTGAATGAAGTACCTCAATATTATAATCAAAATTTTGCAAATTCAAAAAAGAATGAGAGAGTTGACCAAATTGGTATTATTTAATTATAAATATTATGTAGTGTTCCTAAAATATTAATTTTTCTTTATATCCTATGTCCTAAATATAAAAAAAATTAAACTTGACAATTATATAAATTAAAAAAAATATACCATTTTTAATGTAAAATGTTGGCCTAAATGATTTTTTCTAATTCGTTAATGTTTAACCCTGATTTGGGTTGATTTTTTAAGGCCCTATTAAGATTTAAGCCTCAAGATTTGGCAAATAGATGTCAAAATCTTTGCCATTTATGAGCAAAATCTCAAGACTTAAATATTATTTTAACTATAATCAAATGCAATAAAAGGCTCCTCTTTTTATTGTTTAAAACCATTTAAGGCATAACCTATTTATATGTAACATAATATATGATACCTAAAATAATTCTGAAAACAAATTCCCTAGATAATTGCTCATTTTTTGATTTAAAAAAAATTAAGTGGAAATTATTCTGCAGGAAAAAAAGAATTTTAACAATTTTCTTATAAATATATCCTGCCAACAAAAAAAAATTATATTTCTTAAAATATTGCCTTAGTGAAGATATATTGTTAAAAATGAATATAAATATCAGAGACCTCCAGGACTAGGTATTTTTAAAAAAGCTTGGACTGGGCATAAATTATTTTTTTAAAAATCTCCAAGCCAGGTCTAAATTTTTTTAGGAAAATTACATAAGACCTTCTATTTTAAAATCAAATGTTTTAAATCACAATTATAGCTATAAAATTAAAAATAAGTAAAATATATTTTAATAAAATCCTTGCTGGGCTGTGCAAATGGTACCTATGTATGTCTATAATTTTAGTGAAGAAGAAATATATAAAAATAAACAATTATCATAATTGTTATTCTTAAACTTTATTTTGAAAAAAATAAGTAAAATCATTTTGTATATTATGATTTCAATGAAAACAAGGGAGGGGGGGGGGTGTCTGCAAAGTTTTTAAGGGGGTTCTCTATTTTCAAAAATATTAAATAGAAATATAATGGATGTCTTGGTCAAAAATAATTTATTAAAAATTTTCATTGTTTTAATCCTTATAATATTTTGAGCAAAAATATTTTTTTGAAGAAGATGGATTGATCAAATTTTACCTAAAAATATTTTTTATAAAAGTTCTTTTATGTATGTATATTTGCAATTTCTATATATAAAAAATTTCTCAAATTAAAATCACAATTTATATTAAAAATGAATTCTCAAATTTTTTGAAGTTTTTTTTTCAAACTCAATACCGTTTTAAATTTAACAAACCAATAAGACAACAAAACTTAGGAAATTTTAACAGATAAACCCTTTGACAAAAAAAGGGTCCAGGTTCAGGGAAAATAAAAAATGACTTAAAATAAGTCTCTTTTTCATTAATTTATTATTATACTTCAATATATACACATTCATGATTTATAAATAAAATATTTAATAATGAAACAATTTATATTATAAATGTTTTATTCAATCACACAATCATAATATCTTCTAACATATCCTTGAGATTTCCACTTAAATTAGGCAATATATATTTCAAAGAGTAAAATTCATATACACTTACCTTAGAGTTTAATACATAAATTATTGTATTTGTGTTGCTGATACACAAAGATGATTCTAGATATATTGAAGAATTTTCTTTCCAAAATTTTAAAATATTTATATCCTTATTTATTATCTTAACTTCCGAGAACTTTTCTATCAAAGATGTGATAAGTATTTTTTGATCCTCTTTTCTATCTGATGATAATTTGTTTTTTTTTCTCTATCTAAACGTAAAATTTCAAGATCATCAATATTGCTATCATTATTATCACTACAATCAGTAGGTATTATTGTCATAGCCTCCAATATATTGCAAATTATGGAGTTTTGTGTATGCCATAAATCCTTTGTCTTTAGCCATTAGTTTTTGCTCAATATTCAATGAAACTTGATATTGAGGGTCTTTGCAAATATTATTGCTCTCGAATTTTCATGTTTCTAATATTTCATATGAAAAGACTAGTAATTCTTTCTAACTCTAATCAGTATCTAATCCATATGCAATAAAAATAAGATAAACATAATTGTTCTGATTTAATTTTGTTATTTTTAAAGGAACTAATACATTAGTTAGGTCCTTTATTTGGCACCAATAATCTTCTGCAAAATGACTTCACATGCTCCTATAATAAAGTCATTACAGAAATCTTTTAAACTTATTAATCTTTCTAACATCATAAAATTAAGGATCAATGTGTTGTGCAATTTAATATTGTCATTGACCTTTTCATTGATTTTAATATTCTTACAATTGTGGGAGTTCTAAATATTTTGCATGCTTTATCAATAATAGTTTTAAAGTGATTATTTTTTAGGCAATCATTAATAGCCAATTGTAGAGCATGGGCACATCTGATGCAATATAATTTACATAATAAAATATTACATACACTAGAAAATAATTTATGATATCAACCTCTAAATAAAATGGAAGTTCAGGAAGAAAATTGTAAGAAAAACGTGAAGATAAAATAAATGATTCTACAAAAAAAGTTAATAAAATAAAAAAATTTATATTATTTTTTATGACATCTAGAATCCTTGGACCCTCCACTTTTAAAAAGGATCTGTGTCAAGGTTTGGGTACCGCTAAAATACTAAGGTCCAGGTATGGGTTCACATCCTTGATTTTATTGTGGATGTTTATTAAAGAGTATTGATTTTATGGATAAACTTATTGTGAATCCTCATTTGCATGCTATTAGCAAAGACCATAATGATCATTTTTTATGTCAGAACTCTTACAGAGGATTGTTTATACTAACACCTAACAGCTATTTTATTATTAATTTACAAAAGCAAAAAATATTATAGATAAGATGAAATCATACTGCGAAGACAATTTAACGAATCATAAATCAGGGAAAAAATGCAAAAGCATAACTGCATTAATTGCTAATAGTGATTTTTTTTAAAAAATAAATAGAAGAAATTATTTTATTCTTACATATATTTTTCTGAACAATTTATTTTTTACACTGAATATAAATTTTATACAGCACTAAGAAATAATTCTTGAATGAGCTTTAAGCACTCTATTTATTTTGATGATGCTGTATTAGATAGGTTAATTTTGAAGGTAGCGTTGTTTCAAATATGAGACTCGATAAATCTGTTGGTAGTTTTGTTTGAAAGATGAGACTCCATAAATCTGCTAATAGCTTTGATGCTTAATGATTTAGCAGTGATAGCATAAAAGTATTCAAATATTTTTGACATCTTGGAAAGAAAATGTGACATTAAATTAAGAAGTAATGCCTATGATGAAATGAAACTATTACAATATTAAAATAAAGAATTATAGTGATAACTATATTTTAAACGAGAATTGGGAATATCTGAAATAATATATTTTCCAGCTAATTAAAGAAAAATTTATGACCAAACTTTTTTGAAGGCAATTGTGATATCATTAAAATCTCCTAAATTGTATATTTTAAAAAACTAGGTTTTAAATGTAAAATTGAATATTTTTTCAAAAGAAAATAACTTATAATTTGAATTAAAATTTTATTTAGTTTTTATAATTTTAGGAATAAATAAATCATTATAATGTATATTCTTTTTATTGGGGTATAAAAAAACGTATTTTTAAAAAATTTCTTGTATATACAATATTTTATAGAAATATTAATAGTTATATATAATATCAAATTGATATTTTTATTTGAAAAAACATTATAATTATCTTCAAAAATAGCACCTTCTATAATTTATTTTAAATAAAATTTAAGTTCTTATTTTCTCCATTAATATTTAAATATTTTAGTAATAGACATTTGTTGAGTTACATAAAATAGCATTTATAATTGATTTTTTATACCTAAAATTACAAAAAGAAATTAAATTTTTATTTTCTCCATTAATATTTTTTCTTAAATATTTAAGTATGTTGGTAATAAACATATTTAGTGAGTTCTATATTAGGCCCTTCTCAATTAATTATACCGGAAATAAAACATCACTGAAGATATTTTAAAATAATCTGCATTTTCTGAAGGAGATATTTGAGGGCTACAAAATGATATATAATTTATTACTAACCAAAAATATTTTGAGTATTAAGATATTCGCTAAAAAATAAAAGGCTCTCATTGAATTTCGAAGGGTTTTAACTTGATATATATGAACTAGAGCATTAAAATTTTGATTTGTATAAATTAAACAATCTAATTAACCTTCATATCAATTTTCATCTATTATTAAAATTGTATTCGAAAAATTGCCTTAATTTGTCATGGATTTACTCCTAAATATTTAATGAAGGCAAGCAAAAATATATTTAATTTTTTTTAATTACTTGAAACCTCAAAACTTTGAGAGGTGAATTTAAAGAACAAATTAAGATCTATTTAAAGCAAAGATTGGCTGGTCAAGACCAAAAATTGGTATGATTTAAAAGTAGATACTAAGAATTTAATAAAATAAAAATATGGGCTGATTTCAGTTAAATGTTAACTTATAATAATAATTTGCTTAGTATCACAGAAGCTATAGGTAATTTAGGTTAGAGGTATGATATAGTTAAATATTAGTTTATTTTTTTTGTTAAAAATTTCATTAAAACTGGATCTGGGATAAGACCATAACATTACACATTATATGGTTTAGAATTAATCTGTAATATTTAATTAGTTAAAGAGTTTAACATTATAATTTTGTAAAATAATTTTATTTGGGAATCTTTTTCAGGAATATATTTTCTAGGAAATATATATATTATGTTAATTTTTTCAATAATTTTTAAATATTTGATGGGAATTTATTTCCTATTTTTATTAATTTTCTAAAAAATAATATATTTAATATGCATTAAAACATTCATGTACAGCACCATTTATTCATATCTTCATATATTATTTCTAATATTTTTATAAGTGTCATTTTATAAATTATTAGAAATATAGTTAACAAATAAATTTTTTAAGCTTGTAATCATTTTGAAAATCTAATTTTTAATTACTATTTCCAAGGAAAATTGATGATGTGGTATAGGCAGATTTATGTAAAATCGCTTTAAAGATGAAAGATTATTTTAACTCTTCATAAGATGACTTTCACCTAGAGTTATTAAAGTAGTGTGCTATCATTTCTGGTAGCTATAGCTAATAACGTGTTACTTTTTTTACAAATATTTATTTTTAAGCACGCTTAAAAATATAATGAATAACATGAAAATTTAAATATAATATCATACTTAATTATAATTTTTATAATTCATTATTTAATTTTGAAATGGAAATTTATATTTTCAATTTGTATTATAAACATAATTCATCTAGTGTAAATTATTTATCATCACAAATGGATATCCAAATTGATGTAAGTGAGTTAGACAGCCCTGGAAGGAAATGTTCTTGATAAGATTAATACAAATTTTCATTTCCAAAAGAAAAATATTTTTAAATTAATGTAAAAACAAAAGATGGCTATTTATTTGTTCAAACTGTAAAAAAATATTCCTCAAATGAATCTCAAATAACACCTAAAGGTAATTGTCATATTTAAATTCTAATAATATTTTTATTTTATGAGAATGTTCATGCCAATAGTTATTAAGAGATAGAAAAATATCTTAATAATTTAGTTATAAAGGAGACTACATTCAAAACGACAAATTCAATTCAAGCTAAATTGATAAATAATATTGTACATGCCAATATTTCTCAGAAACTGGCTTATAAACTTATTGTCGAATTTATAATTGATACAGTTTAGCCAATGTCATTGGTTGATAATCCATCATTTACCACGATGATTAAAACTATGCCCTGATACAACAATTATTTGTTGCTAGAAACTAATTATTTAGATAGCAGACAAAGATACCCTAGTTAGAATCATCAAAACGACTTCCATTGATATTTTTTTTTGAAATAAAGGATACTAATATAACAGAAAACCACTAGACGCTTTTTTAAAATCTAAAAATGCAAATGAGAATTTTTGATAATTTTTCTTATATTAAAAATAAAATTAAATACTGCATTGCGCTCAAGTAAAAAACTAATAGCGCACTTCTTTTTTTGATGGATAGCGGTAGCGCGCTACTTTTAAAAGTAGGGTTTAGCAACTCTGATTTTTAACATTATCTGCCTACATTCAATTAAACATCTTAAAAACTACATAATGATAGTGCTGTAAATATATTAAAAATCGAACGCGTTCGCGTTTAACGTTAATTTTTAAAAATTGAACACGTTCAACCTTAAAAACGGAACGTGTTCACGAACGTGAACAAATTTCATTTATATTTATCATAAACAAATATCGTATATTTTTTAAGTAATGTTGTAAACGACGCTATTTCTATCCCATAGTATGGTTTATTAACTTTATTATTATTTATAGATTAGCGTAAACATGGATTTTGTTATTTCATCTACATCTTATTCTGAATTAACATTGCCATGGCCCAAATATAATAAATAACAGTTACAGCATATATTCAATATCCTTGTGTAAAATGTATAATAAATTTAATGAGATACTTGATTGAAATATTTATTGTTTTATGATATAACTATAAGTATCCTATTAATAATTATTTTAGATTATTGTATTTCATAGACTTATTAATATTATTATTATAATAGAAAATATTTTTTATTAAATTAATTATTTTTTATTCTTTTAAAACTAGTAATTTTAATGGTTATTTATATGGTATTAAAAAATAAAATAGTTTATTCATCAAATTTTGAACATAATGCGTTACTTCTTGAACCTGAACGCGTTCAGTTTATGAACGTTGAACGTTCGATTTATTTAGAAATGTTTACATCATTTGAATTAATCAAATATATATATATATAAATTCCCAGGCCTGGCCTAAAAAATCAGCTCCACTTCTTTATATTGGATATTTGCTGGTAATTTATCCCATTTACATATTTACTACATTTTTTACTAAATACCAGATCCATTGAAAAATAGTAGACTTATAATTTTAAAAATGCATTTGAGCCATATCATTCATCTAATAAATAGCAACATAAATATATACTTTTTTATACTGTATATCTAATCTATTTTATATCATCTTATAAATGCTAATTAATATTGTAATTTTTACTATGGGAAAAGGTAAGAACAATAATATTTCAAATGTGATTATAAATGAAAAAGAAATATCAAGTCTAGAAAAAAATGACCTTAATAGTAATAACGTAAATGCAAAGCAAAATAATACCTTTTCCAAGCCATTTAAAGCTCCACAGCAATCATATTTTAAAGATAACAATAAAAGTTATCCCGTTAATGATGATGCTCATAAACCAGTTTATGGGCCACAATTGCAATTACAATCACCGCAGACTGCTACTTTACCCCAACCCAATATAATCTATCCAGATAGTCATCAAATATTTGTAGGCAATTTACCTCATACTATGGGAGAAAATGAATTAAGCAAATATTTCTCAGGTATATATTCATTATTCTCTCTTTCTAACATATATATTTTAATCTAGAATATGGCAAAGTGGTCGATTTAAAAATTATATCTGGTCAAAAAGATGGAACAAGAAAAGTTCCGGTAATTGTTTCATACATGTGTAATAATATATATTTTTACAGAACTATGGCTTTGTTATATTTTCTAGTTCCGAGCCAGTAAAAAAATTGATCAACGAAAAAGTAGCTCTAATTCTTTAAATTTTATGACTATCTTCTTTTTAGCCAATTATTTACAAAGGACACCGCTTAAATGTAGAGGAAAAGAAGAATCAACGTAAAGGAGGTGGACCTATTGTAAATAATAGACCTAACAAAATGGGACCTCCTAATAAACCTCATCCTCAACAGCAACCTTACCACCCACCACCTCTACCACGATTATAGTTTTTGTTTCCACCCTATTTTCGTTTTCATATGTATATAATATCAGATTTACCTAAAAATATAATTATGTAATTTTATGTTTTAATTTATTTTAACATAAATGCTTTTTCTCTTATTAATTCGTTTGATATTAGAAAATTTTAATATGTATTTGCCCTAACATATTACTCAAATTTTTTTGTCATTTTTGAGATGTTTATAATGGCTTGAATTTATAATAAAAATTGCTCACATACTTCTATATCCTGAATTATTTTATGAAAAATGTAAAAAAATAAATTTTTACTAAAGTTGCGAACATTTTTCATCTGAGAATGAAATAGGCAAATAACCAAGAATTGTTGCAGATTATAGTGCTACTTAAAATTAATAAATGTAGGTATGGTTGTAAAATTTTTGCAAACATTTTTAATAATTCGACTTAAATTTACAATATTCATGCCATAGAAAATAAATATCTTTAAATAATGGCCTAATGTCGATATAAGAGTGTGAATTGAGATGGCTTAGATCGACAACTCCTTTATAATATTTGGGTCAGTTTTATTTGTCCAATCATATGCCATTCAATAATTTTTTGTCATTATTCAAATAACACTTCTATTTCCATGTTATCCTGTTTTTTGGTGGTACCCAAGTCGATTGGATAATGTTTTTGTTATGGTTTAATGAAGATGATTTTAATATATGCCATTCAATTTACTGCCCTAAATCAAATTAGATATACATAAATTTTTTATTCATAACGATTATATTTCAAAATAAGTGAAGTTTTTGATGTAAATACAGGTTATGGTTAATATGTCTTATGCTTTAGGATAAAATAATGATTTAATTATTAACCAAATATATTTAGATTTACTCATTTTGCTCACAGTTGCCAAATGGTAACAAATTATTTTTTGCTATTTTATGGAATGTTAATGTGTAAAGATAAATAAGCTGTTTATTTTTACCAACTTAATCTCAATTTAGCAATTTATATAATTAAATTAATTTTTAATATGGTATTGTAATCGACGTGAAAAAAATTCGTTTTTTGAAAAGTCATTTTGAACAATGTTCTTTTTACCTTGGATAAATTTTCATAATAATCGTTTTCAAAAAATAATAAATTATATTTTTTATAACATTCTTTATTATGCAAATATTCTCACAATATATAAAACTAAATAAGATTCTGCGACATTTTATTATTAGTGAACTATTTTATCATATTTTTGTATCAGTTTATTTATCTTTAACAAAACAATCTAAATACATCAATTAATCATTCTACACAATTAATATATTTGACATTAATTGCCTTTAAGGTTAATTGATTATATCACATTCTCATTTTTGGGCTCTCGATTTGGAACGGTATAAATTGTTTTCTTATTCTTTTTGGATAACGGCTATTTGTAATTTATTCTCTACTGCGATCACTACTGTCGATTTCAATCTTTTCATTTAAGATGGCGTCTTTGGTTATCGAGTTTTTTATAGGATCAATTGGGAAACGGGAAAGTATATCCACATTAATTTTTTTCTTCTCGAAGTGCAATTCATAATCATAATTTGTTAGAGTAATGACCATCTACTAATCTTGATGATATATCTGTTGTTCTCTTAATTGGATTAAGTTACGATATAAGTGGTTATAATAAAATGCTTACAAATTAAATATTGTTTAAATTTAGTTAATGCAAATATGATTGTTAAAGCCTCACGTTCTATCTGACTAACTTCGTTCGGCGGCATTTAATGTTCGAGAAGCAAATCCAATCGGTTTTTCCTCATTGTTAATGATATGAGATAGAACTGATCCTATTTTATGTTGCGACGCGTCACTAGCTTAAATTATCGGGTTTTTCGGATTATAATATGTTAAATTACTGCTTTTATTTCATTATATGTCCATTTCCATCGCACATTTTTCATTAAAAGTCTACATAAATCAGGGGCGTCGCTAGCCTTCACAATCTCAGGGGGCTCAACTAGAAAAAATTTTGAGGGGGGCTACGCCCCCATACTCCCCAATTTGCGATTCTTCGGCCCGCTTTTGCCCGGCCTTCGGCCGGGTTTTATATTAATATAAAATTTGCTAACTGAACAATTATTCTGATTTTCATATTTTGTCATTATATTATGCATACAAAATAAACTGGCATATAAAAAACGACATAATGCAATAATATAATTCTTAGCAACTTACATTGACAAAAGGCTATCAAACTAGTATAGCTCTATGTTACCATTTTAGACAATGTTTTATAGAATGGACTAATAAGGAAAAATTTATTGGCCTAAACCAATGATATATATAACATAGATTGGCGATTCATTCATTAAAAACGTCCTCACATTGCAATCAGCTGTAGCGCCATTTTGTAGCTTGAACGTTGATAAATGCCTCATCATTATTATTATTATATATTTAAATTCTCTATATCAATACAAAATAAATTCTCACCTCAACTGATGATTTTAGCAAGTTCTTCAATTCTTTTTATTAGTAATCTAAAATATAAGACTCAAGATATTGTTATGTTCTATCCCCCCCTTATTTCTTTTATTTTTGTTTCTCCTTGTTTCTTTTGTTTTCCCGTCTTCTTTTATTTTGTTATGAAATTAATATATTATACCTTATTTTTATATTGCATTTGAAACTGGTTCTTACCAGTTTCATGAATGATTATATCGCGATTAAATAACAACTTTTTCTTTCCCCCTTTGTTTTAAAAATTATAAAGGTGGAAAACAAAACACCATTAATCATTTAATATTTTTTTTTTGTAATAGAATTTCTTTTTTTTAATTGTAATTTCTCTGATTCGAATAAACTTTAAAACTTACGTTGTCCAAGTGATTCCATGACTAAATCGATAAAACCCGGCCCCCTGGATCCAGTCATTGACCATCCCGGACCCCCGATCACGGACTGTATTATTCCCCTTCAGACTGGGGGACCCATCGGTCCAAACTCAACACTGGCGCCCAACGTACTTTCGATAATCTACGACCCGGAAAAACCAACAGATCATTACCTAGAACGTTTTATGCTTATCCACCGACATCAACCGGAGGCAAATTTACTATCCTTATTCTTATCATCATGCGGTCACGGCCTATATTCAAAATTAAAGTTAGCCTTTGCACCAAGGCCTATGTTGGAAATGTCAATAGAGGACGTAAAAACTATTTTGGGAAATAACAATAACAACAGAGGTCTAGCAATCAACAAGCTTCGTCAACGCATCCAGCAAGATGGCGAAACAATTACTGAATATGCGGAAGCTTTGATAGCTTTGGCCTCTCAGTGCGATCTAGGCCCCAGGGACCTTTTCTTGTCCTCCCAATTCGGAGCGGGGATACAATCCTCCGGAATAAGAGATCACGTAATAAAGTCCGATAATATAACGTTTAAAGGAAAGTTAAAAATTGCGCAAACCTGGGAAATGGCCGAAGCGCTTAATTAAAATAATGCGACGAACCACGCCTACAGCAACCAAATAAACATACCCACAAAGTATACGCATGTACAAAACATCCCGCAAACATTGGAGAATTACTATCAACCCCCACGTCGAAATTTCCCACGGAATGAAAACCCAACCTGTTACAATTGCGGAAACGTGGGGCATTATAGATACAATTGCCCAATAAAACAAACTTTCAACAATTATTACTCCTCTCAGTATACTCCTCGAAATATACCTACGACTCAACCCAATTTCCCGGCAATAGCCTACCCAGCGACTAACAGAGTACTACTCGAGACTAAAAAGATAGAAAACAAGGAGTACAAACACATAAACATGATGACAAATGAAGCGGATATCGACAAAAACCATTCATTCCGGGTAACGGTAAAAATAAATGGTATACCATTAGAAATGGTTATAGATACAGGCTCAGATGTAACAATCATTAATAATCAAACGTATAATGTACTTTTCAACCTTATCCCAATGGAGGACACCAAGGTAGTTCTAAAATCATTTTCAGGACATGACATTCAACCCATAGGGCACTTCCCGGCAATAATAAGCTACCAAGACAGCACACATTCAACAAATATCCTAGTAACTAATAACTCCCCCATCTCCATAGTGGGTAGAGATGTTCTAAACAAGATACCCGAGATCCTACAAGACATCACCTACAAAGATCAAGAAATTAAACAACTTAAAAAAAATTTCCCACGAATTTTTTCGGATACCTTAGGAAGTTTCCCAAGCAAAATAGACGTTAATCTCCTTCCCAACGCACAACCCCAGTTCGTCAAACCCCGTTCGGTACCCTATGCACTAAAGTCACAAATTGAACAAATACTTAAGGACTGGGAAAACCAAGCGATTATTAGTAAATGCCGATACAGTAAATGGGGATCTCCAGTTGTGCCCATTCAAAAGTCGGACAATTCCATACGCCTTTGCATTGATTACAAAGTTACTCTGAACCCATGGATCAATCCCGAATGTTATCCTATCCCCCGAATCGAAGATATTTTTGGAACACTACAAGAAGGTACTATTTTTTCGGTCATAGATCTAAAAGAAGCATACACCCAAATACCAGTCACAAAAACTACAAGCGAACTGTTAACAATTAGCACCCATCTAGGCCTATTCAATTTTAATAGACTTCCTTTTGGTATTTCCTCCGCCCCAATGATTTTTCAACGAACGATGGACATTGTAACAGCCGGTCTAAAAAAGACCGTCACTTATTTAGACGATATTCTAGTATCAGGGAAAACTCCGGCGGAACACTGGTTCAATTTGCATCAGCTCTTCACACGATTGGATGATTTTAATTTAAGAATAAATCTAAAAAAATGCAAATTAGCGCAACCCTCAGTAGAATATTTGGGCCACATCATTAATGCAGACGGGTTAACTCCTAGTCCTAGAACAACAAATTCTATTAAAAATTGTCCCGTTCCAAAAAACGTTCACGAAGTGCGATCCTTCATTGGTCTCGTTACCTATTATGCAAAATTTATACCAAACATGTCTACCATGGCTAAACCGTTATACGATCTATTACACCAAGGGGTAAAGTTTAACTGGAGCCAAACCACATCTGACAGTTTCAATTCCATCAAGACCCTATTGATTTCCCCCCAAATCCTTTGCAACTACAACCTCGAAACCACCCTCACTCTATCTTGTGATGCTTCCGCTTATGGTTTAGGAGCCGTTCTATCACATCTATGGGATAACAATATCGAGAAACCTATAGCCTA